TAGCAGTGGATTTGGTTTAGATGACGCACTGAATCTAACTGGCTTCCAGCAGGTAATGAGCAAAGAGCCTTCCCACTTACCATCTTCAATACCTGAATTGTTTGGCTTTACCCAATTGTTAGATTCCTAAAGAAACGGATGGTAAAAGATTCCTCTACCATGCCCTATCATGTTATACATCCAGACACCCAAATTGTGCGTGCGCATGCACACACACACACACACTTTCTCATTCTCTCTCCACACATACAACTATTGCATTGAGTGTAGTTTTGCCTGATGACTATCTAATAAGCTAGATTAAAATGATGTGTCTGTTAGAATGGCCACTGTCTGTTCAAATTTCCTTCTCTCCTATCCCCCTTTTCCTACCATTCCATCTTCGCTTGGTCCACACAGACCTTATCACTACGCCACAAAGACATCATAATGCTAGAATACAAAGAGAACAGCCATCAATTACAACAATTTCCAACACATTCCCACTCACAATTAATATTAAATATCATAAAACTCTCTTTCAAGCAATAGATCCTAGAAGTTGGGTGCTCTCCTCAAGTCTTATGCCAATAATTTAAAATAAAGAGTTGAATGCAAATTGCACAGTCTATAGTTTCTGCTCAGGAAACATCTATTTTTTGACACAAACCTGACTCTCCCCAAAATTCTACTACCCACTTCAGATTATGCTAATGCTCAAACTGTAGGGGGAAAAAGCAAAACTGTAGTAGGAGAAAAAAAAAGAAGGCAAAAGAAGACGGGAGAGAAAAATTGTAAAGATCAATAACAATAAATTAAGGATAAAAAATTTTAAATAACTAGGAAAAATTAAAAAGGAAGAACTCTGTAATAGGTAAAAAAGATAGCTGGGAAAAAACAGAAAACCATGCATTATAAGTCAATAGGTGAGTATATGGGGAAAAGAGTCAACAAATAAATATGAGTAAAAAGTGAATAAGGAAAAATCTAGATAATATGAAAGGAGATAAAATGTTGAATAATTTTTGGAAGTCTTGGGACTAAGGGGAAAAATATTGGCGCGGGGAGTTAAGGGAAAGTTTGAACATATGTGTTATATTTGTTATGTCCTTCTCTAAAACAGTTTGCAATTTTAAGAAAATAAAATGTGACCTATACAACTTGATTTGATCATTAAAATAATTATGTTTGGAATATTAAAAAGTATAATTGGCTCAGATTATTAAAATTTTTAAAAATTTAATGAGCTACCTACTATGGACCTTACTACCAATTTGAGAAACAAGATGAAACTTCACAGAAGTCATAAATCTTATTGTGTATATTAGCAAATGATGGTAACAGGGATTATTATTTTTCATGTCCAGTATATATAGAAAGTCTTTTTTAAAAGATACCAAGGAGCAGAAAGAAAAAGAAAACATTCACTTGATACACCTTTGCCTCATAGATGTTTGTCTAATAAGCAAATATCCACATGAAGTGTTGGTTGCCATTGACTAAAACCCATTGCCGTCAAGTAAATTCCGACTCATCATGACCCTATAGGACAGAGTAGGGCGGGGTTTCAAAGGCTGTAAATCTTTACAGAAGCAGACTGCCACATCCTTCTTCTGCAGAGCAGCTACTGGGTTCTAATCACCGACCCTTCGGTTAGCAGCTGAGTGCTTAACTACCGTGCTACCAGGGCTCCTGAGCCACTGACTAGGTTTGTATTTTTAGAATGTTCATTTCTCTTCTCTGAGACCCATGGTTCCTCTTTAAAAGGAAGGAGTTGGATGAGAATGCTGTCTGGTCCTAATTCAGTAGGATAATTCAAAAGCCACTATAGTGCATGCTGCGGTTCCCCACCCAGATTTCCCTTTACCCCCAAAATTCTTCAACAATGAAGCATGCTTTCCCCCCAGCTGCTAGGACTGTTGGTGGTTGGCAGCTCTCAGCTATGTCCCTCTCTGGGAATAGTCCCTGACCAAAGATACCCACCCAGCCCAAGGTCACACCCCCTTCCTGGGAGCAGCCTGTGTCCAATGACTAAACCAACAGAGGGTATAAAAAGTAACTGGAATGCTCCTTAGATGGATGGGTAGCTGGCAAAACTTCATCTTTCTTAGTTTGGAAAGACCACTCACTCACTAGAAAAGGACGCCATGTTTGGTAAAGTAAAGGGTCACTGAAAACGAGGCAAACATTCGATAAGATGGATTGACACAATAGTCACAACAATGGGCTCCAACATCTCAAAGATCATGAAGACAGTGTTTTGTTCTGTTATACAAAAGGTCTCCATGAGTCGGAGCCTACTCGATGGCAACTAACCACAGCAATCCTTGCCTCAATTCAGGACATCTCTGTTGGGCCACCCCAGTCTCAGAGCTCTCCAAGGTGTCAGCTAAGGTCTTTGTTATGACTGCATCACAGTTCAACTTCTCTTTGTCCAATACCGCTTTCTTTGTTTCCTAACAGTGTTGATCCTGAGAGCACTCCCCAATAAACTTCCTGCAAACAAATCTCCATCTCAGGGTCTGGTTTTCTGGGAATCAACATGGAACACACACTTCCTCTGATTTTGGTGAGAATAGCAATGCCTCCTGGAGGCAGAAATGCTTTTTCTTGAGATTTGGGCTGTATTGCTTATTCTCAGGAATTACTGATACTATTCTCTAATAACTATTTCCACAACCATGCTAAAAATTATAAAATTATTTCAGAGAAGTAAGGTTTAGATAGGACTATAGAAATAAGGAATCTTAAGATTTTCATTCACTATTTCAGCAGTAAAAATGTATATGACAATCTGATTTATCAGAAAAAAAAAAAAAAAGTTTCTCCTAAGCCTTTGCTTCTCTAGGAAAAATAACACCCAGTACCAATAACTGAAAAATAGAGAAGACCATAAAGATGGGGGAAAATTAAACAAAAATACAGAGTAAAAGAGATTTTAATAACAATAAGAGAAAAGGTGAAAAAATATTTTTAAGTAGAAAATTAAATTAAAAAGTAAAATACAAACGGAAGAAAGTATTCATATGTTTAAAAAGAAAACTGAGTTATAAAGAAAATAAACACATACATAATAAATATCATCACTCAAAATTCGTAGAGCTCATTAAATTATCCAAAGTTTTTATATTGTTTTCTGAAATTGAGTGGGATCTTTTCCTGTTTGTTTTCTTTCAAGGCATTTTGGCTTTTTTTTTTTTTTTTAATTACCAGTTTCTTTTTTCTGCCCTTTTTATTATTTTTTCTCTCTAATCAATAAAAGTGTCTACATTTCTATTATATTTCCAGTACCATAAACCAATGCAATCTTTTATCGGGGTAACTATCCTGTTCACTTTATAGTCTTTTCGTCCCTTTCTTGCACAAGTCAATTTCTTCTACATTATTCAAACAAACAACCAGAAAAATCTTCAAATGAAACTGACCTTGAAAAGGCAACTGGTAAATAGACACATAGTCTCTAACATAAATTCAACTACCTCCTCTGCAATTCAAAAATGAACTGTCTACCAAATGTATTAGATGTTTCAGACTACTTCCAGCTTGGCAACAACAGAAAGTCTAGTCTCTGGTAAAGTAGCAACAGCTGATTTAGCAGGCATGGAATGCTACTGCATCTGATCCTTGTCAGGATAACAGAGAGTCTTATTTACTGTCTCCTGCCTGGGTCCTTCTAAGTCAGTACTGTTTTCTGTTTACTTATTCCCTAGCTTTAGGCTCTGGAACAATGTTGAACATGGTGTCACTGGCCCTGGTGCCAGACAGGATCAGGGGCTCTGGAATATTTACAGTTTCTCTTCTTCTGCTTCCATAAATGAAATGGACAGTCTGAATGGAGAAAATCAGGGGCCAGCTGGCTAACAACACAACTGGCAATGAGGCACTTGGGCTCCTTCCAAGAGCTGGTGTTTAAAGAGAGGCCATTTAAAGAGCAAATTCCAACCACCACAATAAAAGTTCAGGCACTAGCTGTAGAAACAAACAGTAAGATTTTACTTAGAAAGGTTTCCATCTCCAAAGCTTTGGAACCTACTACATGCCCCTTTCTTCTTGAGAAATTTTCTAATGTCAGAATCAATTCCTTAAGACAATCAATCCCTCACACTCATAACAAATGGCAAAAATATATACTTCATGAATGTTAAACATGCTGTGGCAGCATGGCCAACGTCTTAATTTAGCTTAAATTCATCCATATGAAAATAAATAAAATGGTTAAGAAATTGAGGAGAAAGAGAGAAACAAGAAATGACCTAAGAATTGAGACAGGATAGCATGGAAGACAGCCAAAAACACGTGAACTAATTTGGGAGGTTAGTAATATATCATGAGGCCAACTGATAAAGAAAGGCAGATTTCCTTTGTTTAATAAAATATTATTCCAACTTTGGTATTTAAGAAATTCAAGTAAAGAAAAAAATGCAGCTAGCATCTTGTTGCTTAATTCAAAAATCTGCTGGGGGAAGAACGATGTTGGAGTACTAGGTATATCTAGGAGATGCTCAAGATTTTCTTTTTTCCTTGCTGGGCTTTGATAAAGACAACACTGGACTGGCCACTTATTAACTCTAGAGTATCTGACAGGTGACACATTAGATATATATGTAACTCCATATTCTGAGAGAGAGATTTGTAACCCGAACAATTCTATATATTATGAAATCTTTTTTTTTTCTTTCTTTTTTCTCACAACCCCAGGAAGCAGATGAGTTTGAAGGTGACTGAGGAAAGCTCCCTGTTCTTATACATACATGCATAAGTGATTGGAAAGAGAAATGGAGGAGGGACCCAGAGAAAAAGCTAAGCGGTCAGGCAAACAGGTACGCCCAGTAGAAGTATCTTAATACTAGAATCCAGTAAAGCCAGTAGCTAGAGACCCCCTGGAAGGCATTACCTCAATATAGGGTACTATCTTGCAGGAGAAGTCCTCTAGCAGCCACTTCTTAGTCAACTCGTGGAAGATGACGAGCGGAAGGCAGAAGAAGATAATGAGAAAGTCCCAGAAGGCCAGGTTGGCCAAGAGAGAGTTGGAGATGCTCCGCATGTAGTAGTTGTGACACACGATGCACATCACCGCCAGGTTGCCAATGATGCCGGTCCCAAAGATCACCACCGACAAACACATGACGGCGTAGGCTCCGTAAGACTCCTGGGTCAGCGGGTAGAAGGGGTTCTTGAGTCTCAAGCGCCGGTTCGTGCTGTTCCCCCGGCGGGGTCCGCCGCGGTCCAGGATCTCTTCACTGGAAGACCCATTCTGGGCCAGCGCCCTGCCGGGAGGTGCAAGTGTCCGCCCTTCGTGCCCCGCGGGTCCTTTGACAGATTTCGGTAGGGGCTCGCGGTGGGAACCCTGGAGTTTGCCGGCTCTCTTAGGGCGGTAAAAAAGGTCGCTGGTTCCGGGTTCTGTCCTCACACTCTGCTCTTGGCTGCGCCTCGAAATGCCAGCGCTTCTAGGACCTTTCCCTTCCGCCTCTGAGGTCTGCAGGAAGCGCTGGAGGGCCATAGGGTATCCCCTCCCTAAAGCTCCAGGGGGTTCCTGGCTCCGGACACCTTTCCATCTCCTGGAGCCAGGCAGCCTGGCCGGGGGTCCCGCAGGCCCCTTGGCCGCTGCCTCCGCCCCTCTTGACACACCTGGGTCACGGCCCCACGCCGCCGACAGGTCCCAGGAGGGCGCCGCGCGCACTACTGCCTTCAGCTCCTCCTCCTCCCTGGGCGCACGGGCTCGCAGAACGTCTTTGGTAGAATTTCCCGTCCCCCAAACGTCCCTGCTGCGGCTCTGGGTCAGTGCGGGTGAGCAGCTCTCCCCTAGACAAGTTTCGTCCCTGGGATTCGGAGCGGCCCCGAGGGCAGGAGTCGCAGAAACCTCGATTAGCAGTAGAAGCAGCAGCCGCGAGGCGCCGGCGAGCGGCGCGCCCAGGACCCGCATGGCTCCGCGTGGGCGCACCGGGCAGAGCAACTGCCGCTTAGGCTTGACACCCGCTGCCTAAGTTACTGCTGCGAGTTAGACACATGTCACTACTCACCCCCGCCCAGGCAGTGGGGGGCCAGAGACTAAGGGGAGGTTGATGGATGGGTCTTGGGGTCACACCCTCCCTAAAATTCTTCCTCGTTTGGCATTTCTTCCGCCAAATCCAATCCGAGCGTTGGGTACCCGCTAGGGTCTGAGAAGGAAGCCGCTGCTCCTGATGGCTGACCTTGAAAAGTTACGACCAACACCTGACTGTTGATTAATGTTGCGCCTGGGAAAAACCCGGACGCAGCCCCACGCTCCTCCCTGCCTTTGGATGATCGCCTTCCTGGTAACAGTTGCTCGGCCTATTTACATCCTTTCGATGCTGTTTTATCCAGTTGCGAGCCGAGATCTCCAGAGGAAAGGAAAAACAAGTACCCCTCCCCCAGACGGATGGCAGCCACGCTCCTGCTCCCCGCCAGCTGGAAACAGGTTGCAAACAGCCAGACGCCGCGCAAATGCGCCCCGGCGACCCGCGAGGCCACTGCTGCCGAGTAGAAGCGGGGTTGTAAACCTGTGGCCACTGTCAAAGTTGCTTCTGTTCCTGCCCAAAGTTGACGAGGGGGCGGCCCGGGTGGCGGGTCCCCGCGGAGAAGGGGATCGCGGGGCTGGGCCGGCGCTGCACCCGGTTGGCCGGTGCCGGCGGCCACAGGAGCTGGTGGCCGCGACAGCGGGTGCAGC